TATAGCTATAGGATTAGATTACCTATAAAAAGTCATATTTTCCTTGTATTTATAATATCCAGATTAATACTGTATTATTTGCAATAACATGACTCACCTGCTTTTCCAAATCAAAGCATGAGAATGTGATTTTAATGTTATCTATTCGATTTGGTATTTTCCTTCTAATAAAGGTGCATCTGTTATTCATTGTGTTAATAGTCAACGTTCTAGAAAAAGTATGCCTAAAGCATCACTAACTACTTGAAAAAAAAATTTAAGGAAACATAAGTGCTGAAGCATATAGAATGTGCTACCATGTTAAATATATGTTCATTAACAAAAACAAATTTAAAAAGAGAGTGGTTTTACATCTTCAGGGCAATAGCAAGTTATGCCTCAACAATCTACATGAATTTATGTCCCTAAACTTTTTTTTAAGATTTTATTTATTTACTCATGAGAGACACAGAGATAGAGGAGCAGAAACACAGGCAGAGGGAGAAGCAGGCTCCATGCAGGAAGCCCAACATGGGACTCGATCCCTGCACATAGGACTCAATCCCTGGACTCCAGGATCACGCCCTGGGCCAAAGGCAGGCACTAAACCACTGAGCCACTCAGGGATCCCATATGTCCCTAAACATTCTTCTACTCAATACTCTGTAAAACTCATAGACTAGTATTAGTACCTTTACATTTTTGAGAGACAGAGCTACCTAATATTTTTTTCTTAACCGCTAAAATTGTTAAGGTGTTTATAGCTATTTAATTCAAGGAGCTGCAAGTATTTAAATTTTTTGCAGAAAATATAGCACTATACAAATACCTCTATACAATGCTTTTCAGAAGAAAGGATTCGTTGCTTTAAAAAAAAAAAACATTTTTAAAAAGATTTATTTATTCATGAGAGACAGACAGAGACAGAGACACAAGCAGAAGGAGAAGCAGGCTCCCAAAAGGGAGCCTGATGCAGGACTCCAATCCAGGACCCCAGGATCATGCCCTGAGCCAAAGGCAGACACTCAACTGCTGAGCCACCCAGGTGTCCAAAGCAAATGTTTTTAAAGGTAAATAAAATCTCTCTCCTTTGTTTTCTATACCTTCAATAGTTTCTTCTCTTTTTTCTCCCTTCTTCTTGCTAATCCTATTCTTTTTCTTCTTTACCATAATCACAATGGCTACCTCCCAGGGAGGCCTTATTAACATGGTAGATACTGTGTTATTTCTTCAAATGTCTTAATCAAAATGTGCACACTTTGAAATAAACCAAGCAGAAAGGGACTGTACTCTTAACTAATTCTTTGATTGAGTTAAAAATGTAACTTCATTTTTCAGAATTAAGCTACCATTCGAATACATTATTTCCAACATCTGGAAACCTACTTCTAAATCTTTAGACCAGTGTCCATAGGATGGTATAATACATCTGGCAGAGTTTTTCAGGGAATATATAATGGTAGTTAGGCAGTGTGCTAATGGCATCATAGTAGTAGGGTCACCATTTGAATTCTTTTCCTTCACAATCTTCTATATTCATAGACTAGGCTTGGTTGAAAGAGAAAAAGTATGCTGAGATAGTGCACATCTCTACTTCAAAAAAAAAAAAAAACCAACAAAACAGTAACAAAAACTAAAAAGTAGGGGGGGAATCATACAACTGATTGTTGCTTAAATAGAAGATACATCTTATAAAAAAAAGAAAAATATGGTCCTATAGTGCAAATAAGAAAAACATATAGATATAACAACTTATGCAATAAGAGCACATAAAATGTAGCAATTAAGATCACTGGCTTTGCAGGTTGGACAGAACTGACATCATCCCTTACTCCACATTTTACTAGTGGAGAAACTTTGGGTAAGTTACTTAATTTTTCTAGTTCTTAATTCCCCCATATATGAAATTATGGTAGTAATAGTAGTTACTATCTTTGGGTGTTTGAGGGAATTAATAAGAAATGTTCATCACAGAACCTGCATAAGTATTCAGTATATGGTATCTATTGCTATTAATTTGCACCAAAGCCATACTGCTAAATCAGTGAATATATAAATTCTTCCAACTTACTGTGCAACTAAATGCATATAAAAATAACTCCAAATTACCATCTGTAATTGAAATAAGCATTGAAAACATGAATTACATTTTTTGGAATTGGCCAGAATATTGCTAGCTTTATTTTCTAAGCATAATATTTACTAAGAAGTAACATGTTTCCAAGTAGTCAACAAATATTCATGGAACACTCAAGATTTGTCAATCACTATCCTAAGACCAGGCTAGATATAAAACAGTAGACAAGGAAGGCGGGATTCTTGCTTTCCTGCAGTTTATTTTCTAGTAGGTAAAAAGGCAGGAAAGCAAAAAGATAACAAATGGGTAAATAGATACAGAAGAAAATTTCATGAAATGATTAAATGCTATGAGAACAAGAAATCAAAATGACACTCTGTGTAGTGATTGGCTGACTTCTTTGGTTTGGGTGTGTCAAGAGAGGACTCTCTTTGAAAGTATATTTAAATTAGGATGAATTAACTAGGAGGAGCCGGCTACAGCCAGCTCAAAGATATTAAGGTAAGAACAAGTTTGCTGTATTCCTAGGTAGGAGGATTAAAAACTAGGCCAATGTGTTTGGACCTTAGTGGTTTAGGAGGAAAATAATGCTCAAATTATCTTATGCTTCCATTTGTTTTTCCTTTTCTGGATTATTAACCAATTTCCACTTAATTGACGTATTTATTCTTGATGTTAGAACAAAAACATTTCTTTTTTACTCCAAGATATTTACAATATCCCAGGATATGTCCATGGTGTGCTCTGACATTATTAACAAAATTAAAAATATAATTAAATATAATGTATATGTTAGAGGAAAATATTCTCGTTTTTTTAAAGAAAATATTATTCCATAAAACTTAAAGCGTTTATTTGAAAACCAATAATTCTCTATCTCAGTTGTAAGTTTCAGAGAGCCTATTTCCATCTGCAGTAACCAAAGTGGGAAGTGGGGGAAAAGAACACAGGGCTGTAGTATCTTCAGCCCACCAGCATGCAAATCATTTAGCATTGTACCACTTTACTGAAGCTTTTACTGCCAGGGACCCTGAAGAAATCATTTCCATTACTAGTCTGTTCTAATAACCCATTTGCTGATTCAGCTACCTGAATGTAAATATCATAGAAATGACTGGAAAATAAAAGCCAATTTGAAACAGTGAAAAGGGATCTAAAAGAAAATGCTTCCTACATATGCCTTCATTTTCATAACTCTTTATTTAAAAATCTGCTTATCATAGATAAAGGCTTTTGACTCTATTTGAAGCCAATAGAAAAAGATAATTCTTTTATCACATATCACTATACTTTGCTTAAAGCTCCCTATCTTAAATGACAGCTGTTTCACCCATACTAACACAATACATGTAGAAATGCTTCTATTTTTTTATATATGTATATATATTTACTCCAAATTGCCCCAAATAGTAAAATGGCCACAGTGAATTCCATAGCATTACAGTTAAAGTCCTTCATTGTCTATTCAATAGAGGTCTTAGTAGCTTGTCTTGAGGTACAAATGAGATCATGCACTGTTTATTTGCTATACACAGGAGGTGTTTTTCTCTCTGCTTGAGCTTCTGTTCAGTCCAATATTCTCTCCATATATCTGGCCCTCCCTCCAACCCCCAATAGCTTTTTAATATTCCTAGCTGTTGAACTTAAGACTGGCCTCCAGGAAAAAAATTCTTTGTGTGATCTGTATGATTACTATATTAAAGTAAAACATTGAATGAGTAATGTAGCCTTTTGAAATTCACCCCAAATAATATTAGTGATGTAGTTTGATTTTACTGCATTCATGTCTAAAATACAAGATTATCTTAGAAATATGATCATTACAAATGACTTTTAAGCTGCATAACTATATATTTCAAAGCTGATCTGAGTAGGTTTAAAAGGCTACAAATTGCAGAGAAGTAAGCAGCTGCCTTCAAAAAGAATTTGTAATTAACATACCATCATGGTATTGAGTTGAAATTTCATCAAAATTAAAGCTAAAATATTAAAATAATTTTTAAAATATAAAAGCTTAAGGAAAAGACATTCATGATGAAAACATAGATCACATTTGTGGCTATGACAAATGCCACAATAAATGTATCACTGAAAATACAAGTGTAATATTAAGTGGTTTCCATTTTTTTTTCCCCCAATATATATATGATGTCAGTTCATCCTTTTCTAGTCTGGTAAAGATATGTGCACATTCTGAAAAAAGCAGAAAGTTCCTTTAATAATAAAGATTCCTAAACTCTTTTTCCATTAGTGCTAATGGTTTTGGTTGAACTTGAATTAGACCTGTTTAACAATCAACATCTAATTTGTTTCCTAGAAGGTAAAGGAGAGCAGATTTTCTTTGGCATATTGCTTATTCTAAATGGGTTGTTTTTAAGAAACAAGAGACACGGTGAAACTCGGACAACCGAATAGAAGTTCCTCTCTTTTTTTGATGTTACATTTTTTTTAAGATTTTATTTATTTATTCATGAGAGAGAGAGAGGGAGAGAGGCAGAGACACAGGCTGAGGGAGAAGCAGACTCCCCACAGGGAGCCCAATGCAGGACTCAGTCCCAGGACCCCCTGAGCCAAAGGCAGACACTCAACCACCCACGTGTCCCTTGATCTTATAAGCTCTTTTATAAGAGATGTTTACATTGATAAGGAAAAATCTCTGTTTATAAGGGTGTCTCACTAACTGTAACTAGAAAAGGAGGTTGACTCAATTTCTAAAAACTCTTATCAAGGGAGAAGGCAAAGACTTAAATCTGACTCCCCCCCCCCCCCCCCCCCGCGCCATCTTTTGTCTTTAGATGAAATCAGTATTGAAGGTGATGGTTTTGGCCATTTTGGAGAGTTTCTCAGTTTTCCTGGGTCTTTCCTCTGGATGTAGAAAGTATATATGTTATTAAAGTTTTGTCTTTCTTCTGTATATCTAATATCAATTTAATTATTTGAACAGCCAAAGAACCTGGAAGGGGATAAGGAAAGCTTTTCCTCCTAGGAACTCTGACAAAAAGCTAGCAGAAGGTAAGAATTCTTACCGTGGATTTCTCTCTGCAGAGTCCAGTGAAAGTGAGAGTCTCTTTTTTTCCTTTTCTTTTTTTTTTTTTTTAAGATTTTCTTTATTTATTCATGAGAGACACAGAGAGAGAGAGGCAGAAACACAAGCAGAGGAAGAAACAGGCTCCACGCAGGGAGCCCGACGTGGAACTCGATCCTGGGTCTCCAGGATCACACCCTGGGCTGAAGGCGGTGCTAAACCACTGAGCCACCTGGACTTCCCTCTTTTTTTTTTCCTTTTCTAAATTTAGATTAGCAGAAATTTATTTGTGTGAACTAGTTTCTTATGTATAGGGACCTTGGTAAGAATTTGTTCTATATTGATCCCTTTCTTCCCAAAGACGATCATTGTTCTCTTCTGTCTCTTTCATCTTGTTCTATGCCTTGAGATCTCAGCTTTGTAAAATAGTAAGCATATTCTCTCTGGCCTCTGACATCCAGAAGGTGCACATAATGGCATGAATCTAGTGGCCAGTTGAATAGACTTGGGATTCTGAGACACAAAGTGAGCAGCATTCTCTTTGTCCTGCTGTGCTAGCTCTCAGGGGAGTTTGTCTTAAGGTGTCTTGGTCCTTAAAGGGCTTTTGTTGTCTCAACTTTTGTTGTCTTGTTAGAATTGGAAAAGTCCCATCCCAGTAGCCCCTGCTCAGTATCACAGATTAGCAGGTCAGTGACTGGAGGTGTCTCACGTCCTTACAGGAAATCAGAGACAGCGTTTGCATTACACCACTCTTACCAGAGGCCTTTGGTTTCTCTGGCTATAACTGAACCACATAACTTCACTCCTTGTTGAATCACAGAAACTATACCATGTGAGTTTTTGCCTAAAAGAAACTTTATCTGCAGCAAATGAGGAGGAGATCACAGGGAATAATTTCCAAAGTTGTGAGTCCCTGACAAGGATGAATAGATTCCTTTTATTTAGGGTTAGGATGACTATTTACACAGGAGCAGGCATAAGGTCCCACTTACACCTTAAAGAAACATGCCTATGCATACATCGTACCTCCATGCACAAGGAGGCTTGTGCTCCTCCTTGGGTAGAGATTTTTAGTATTATAATGAGGTAAAGATAGTTCTTGGTCATTCTAGAGGTCATTCCATGGTCCATCTTCACAGGTGTGTGTTGGAGGAAGGGTGCTGGTTACATTCAAACTGGTCTGGGTGGTCTGGGCCAGCTGGAGTTTTTGTCAGGGCAATTGCTATTGCTTGAGGGGTGGTTTCACTTTCCGTTTGCCTAAATTGAGAGATAAACTGGAAAGAAGAGCTTAAGGAAAAATGTGGGACAAAGGTCTGTGAGTACAAGTAGGTGAGCAGTAAAGGCCTGGTATTGGGGTCTAGCTGGTGACTAGGCAAACTCTGGGTGTGAACTTTCCTGATCTTGTGAGGGATGCATCTTTTGCACCCTCTCTTGGAACCACTCTTATGTTCGTGGTTTGAATTGCTATTGAGAGTAATATAATATCCTGCTTGTTGGGCAGCCCCAGTGGCTCAGCGGTTTAGAGCCACCTTCAGCCCAGGGCATGATCCTGGAGACCCAAGATGGAGTCCCATATTGAGCTCCCTGCATGGAGCCTGCTTCTCCCTCTGGGCATCTGTGCCTCTCTCTCTCTCTCTCTCTCTCTCTCTCTCTCTCTCTGTGTGTGTGTGTGTGTGTGTCTCATGAATAAATAAATAAAATCTTAAAAAAAAAAATCCTACTTGTCAATGGCCAGATGATAGATCCTTTGAATTGGCTATATTTAAAAGAAAAAAAAAAAGTTTAGACCATTCTGATCCTAAGCAAGTGTCTTATTAGTACCTATGGAAAGATCAAGTTCAAAAGTGGATATGAAGAACTATAATGGTTAGCCTTAGGGGCTGATTTAATAAAATGAAAAAATAGAAATTAGAACAAAAATTAATGTCCATAGTCAACACAAATTCCCCTTCTCAAAATCTAGCTCCATCTGCCTGTTTTAGCTTCCTTTTTTCCCTACAGGATTTACTGAGAGCACTCCAGCCTAATCTCTAGGCTCAGTATATACAGATTACTCAGGTAAATGCTAAAAGCCAGGAAGTACATTTAGCAAACATATCAGGATAAACAATAAGGCTCATTTTGTGGGATACCGTATCAGGCTCTGTTACTTTCAGACCTTCCTATGCAATATCCTTTGCAGTTATATCCTAGACCCCCATCCAAAGAGTTTATGTCTCTTGGACAGTAGAATACAGAAATCTCTTGGTTTCTATCTTAGCTGGAAAATTTCTCCCTGATATAAAAAGGCAACTTTAAAATAGGTTGGTTAAGTTGACAAATCAGTCTCTAAGTATTATAATGGAAAAAGCTGCCCAGTTCTTTGAAGATAGTTTATAGGAATGCTGACAAAATAAGTAACAACTCTTGATTTACAACTTTTTAGAAAAATAAAAGTGTAACTCTGAAAGCAACTCTGTCCCTTCACACCGTTTCCTATTTGCCTCTAGACATTTGTAGATACTGTGAAAAATCAGGAAATTGAAAGTATGATTGTAAATGTACCACAAAACTCCTTAGAGAAAACTTGGATAATGTGTCTGTGTCTTTGTGATATAGATTCTTTTAACCTCTGGCTCTAGGACCTAAGAACCATTTTTTGAAATGCAAACTTTAGGGAGAAGTTTTTCATCACAAGGAAAACAAAAGTTAGGCTAATAAAGGGGCCTTTTTAAAGTAGAAGTGCTGGAAAGGTTCTCTTTCAAAAACTCTAGACCATGGCTTCCTTAAGATTACTTGTCAAGTACAAATAGAAATCTTAAACATCTTCTCCACATATATTAGTAACTATATGGTCTCTATGTTTATCTGTATGTTTATGTGTGTCGATATATGTATGTTACAAATGTGTGTTATTTTTCTACCTCTAAAATTAATTTGTTTTTTTTTTTTAATTTTTTTTTTATTTATTTATGATAGTCACAGAGAGAGAGAGGCAGAGACACAGGCAGAGGGAGAAGCAGGCTCCATACACTGGGAGCCCGACGTGGGATTCGATCCCGGGTCTCCAGGATCGCGCCCTGGGCCAAAGGCAGGCGCTAAACCGCTGCGCCACCCAGGGATCCCTCTAAAATTAATTTGTACAGAGCCTTTTAATTGCTTTAAACAATCAAGCACTTATATCAACTTAGTATTCATAAAAATTCTCAAAAATATAATAGACACTAACCCAAACTCTTTTCAGGTTCGTGTGATCTCAGATATTATTTGGTATTGAAACTAGTTTAAGTTTGTTAAGTTTAATTAAAATAGACATGTCTTTAGAGCTCTCATAATTAAATATAAACTTTTATTCTACCTAGGCTTACTAAAGATCACATAAATCCATGTTAAATCTCTTTAAAAAATTGGTCAGCAAGAAAAATAGCTTGGGATGGTGGCTGACTTTCAAAAGTTTCACAAAATTTTCATGAGTAATCTAAATATAATTGTTGGGAGCAAATGCTTACAATAGATGTAACTGGAATAAGAATTTTTAGACTAATTTTTAAGCAATAATTATATTTATTAGTATATGTACTTACAAATTGCTTCCAAAATCTTTCTGGTAACTTGAAACTTTGGAGTTTTGCTAATAAGTTAAATATTGGAAATTTATTGAATATCTAAAATTATTTCCAAATAAGATAAAATAGTGAAACATTAATTACTGAACATAGATTTATGTACTTTTGGCTTCCTATTGCAAAGGAACTAAAGATAAATTTGTGCCTGTTAGTAGACATGACTTGTGCCACATTGAAATATGCTATTAAAAAGAGTACATGTTTCCAGAAATTACAATATATATTAATAAATTTGCCAATCTAAAGAATGCTGGTGTAACAGACAATTCACAATTGCTTACTTCTTCTTCTTTTCTGTTTTTAAGGTTTTATTTTTAAGTTCTCTATATTCAACATGGGGCTTGAACTCACAACTCTGAGATCAGAGACTCCTGTTCCACTGACTGAGCCATCCAGGTGCCCCCACAATTGTTTACTTCTTAGTTTCACTAAAATTTAAAGTTTTTAAGGGTTAAGGTACTAATTAACACGTATTTAAAACTACTAGCAGTAATAATGGAAACAACTAGATATGTAGGGAAAGGATATGTTTTTGGCTAAGGAAAGGTATGAGGTATGGAGATGCATTTTTGTTAAGGAGAAAAGAAAAGTGAATTTGTCTTTTTTTTTTTTTTCTTTTTAAAGATTTTATTTATTTATTATGAGAGACCCAGAGAGAGAGAGAGAGAGAGAAAGAGAGGCAGAGACACAGGCAGAGGGAGAAGCAGGCTCTAGGCAGGGAGCCTGAAATGGGACTCGATCCCAGGTCTCCAGGATCAGGCCCTGGGCTGAAGGCCACTGAGCCACCCGGGCTACCTGCATTTTTCTTTTTTTTTATTTTTTTATTTTTATTTTTATTTTTTTCCTCATTTATGATAGTCACAGAGAGAGAGAGAGAGGCAGAGACACAGAGGGAGAAGCAGGCTCCACGCACCGGGAGCCCGACGTGGGACCCGATCCCGGGTCCCCAGGATCGCGCCCTGGGCCAAAGGCAGGCGCCAAACCGCTGCGCCACCCAGGGATCCCACCTGCATTTTTCTTAAAGTAAAACTGTTTGTTGCAGAATGGAAAAGAAGAGATAGAGAACAAAATTAAATAGAAAATTGAGAAAAGAAAGAGAGAGAACCTTACCTTGTGTAGTCAATTTGACTAAAATTGAAGGAGCTTGTTATGAGTTATAAAATTAAGCCTTAAAAGTAATCACATACTGGGATGCCTGGGTGGCTCAGTGGGTTAAGCATCCAAATCTTGATTTTGGTTCAGGTCATGATCTCAGGGTTGTAAGAGAGGTCCCAACTCTGGCTCTCCACTCAGTGGAGAGTCTGTTTGAGATTCTCTGATTATCTTTCCCTCTCCCTCTGCCCCTTCCCTGCTCTCTCTCTCTCTCTCTTGCTAAAATACGTAGATAAATCTTTAAAAGCAATCATGTACTTACAGAAAACTAAGCCTTGATTTTCTTTCATCTGCTGAAAAGGACAGTTTTCTTGGATTATTGGTCTATAACTGATAAGAGATTATGAAACATTTTCCTTTATCTTTTAAATAATCTTCCTGGAAAGCAAAGGTTTGGTGATTTATCAAAATGATATCCTGTGCTCTTTCTCATCAGGTCTTTGTTTACTTAAGGAAACTGAATCTTCTTAATATTAAAAAAGTTATGTTTTGCTCACCATTATGTGACCTATGTATTTGCCTTTGAAATCTTTTCCTGTTACTTTGTTTAAATAAATAAGTAATGCTTCATAATGATCTTTGATCTTATTTAGTTAAATGTTCAAACCTTTTGATGCTTTTGACAAACTTCCCCAGATCAAATTCTTTTTTTTTTTTTAAGATTTTATTTATTTATTCATGAGAGACACACAGAGAGAGAGAGAGAAAGAGGCAGAGACACAGGCAGAGGGAGAAGCAGGCTCTGTGCAGGGAGCCCAACACCAGACTTGATCCCAGGTCTCCAGGATCACACCCCCAGCCAAAGGCAGCACTAAACCACTGGGCCATCAGGGCTGCCCCACAGATCAAATTCTAAATGAAGACTTTTTGACCTCAAACTAACTTTGGGATATCCCAGAGGGTCATTGGAACATCTGAAAATATTTGTACTGTCTCCCCATGAAAAGAGTGCTATTACACAATTAGATTAATGGTAAATTACTTGGGAAGCATTGTCTAATAAGTGATGATAAGCCTTAGATGATATTGTATGGGTGAAATGTTATTAATATGTGTTCTAGGACTTGTGAAATTCCTAGAAATCTGATATGTCCCGGTAAAATATTTTTACATATAATTCTAGCTATTGTCTTGAAGTAGAGTGTCACAGAAAAAAGCAATTTTCATTGTTAATTGCATTATAATGAACTCTCATGAGATCTTTACCATGGTTGTTTTAAGTCTTTTGTTCATTAAACAATTTATTGGTTTATACCAATTGGAAAAATGCTTCATCTTTAGTGTGACTCAAGGAAAGAACACTGAGTACAAGTTTCTGATAACTTTTAAGATTAGACCATTAAACTGAGTAAGACTATAATGGAAAAACTGGATTTATAAAACTGCTAACAAGAGATCAAGATCAACAAGAATTAACTACATGGGACTGAATAAACTAATGGTGATTATAATTGTTATGACTTTTTTTTTGAAACACTGCTGAATTTTTTAATGTTTTATTTTTCCAGGTTTAGAAGGGAATTTTCTCTTTTCTCTTTTCTCTTAAGCTACCTATATGACTTAGAGCAATTTGGTAAAATCTAGCTTTGTGAACAAAGATGAAATATTTATCTTTTTCTTCCTGCCTAATCCCACCTGAATTCTGAAACTCTCAATGAGCATTCTTATTTTCATGGTAATATATTTATTTTCATAAATTTAATAAAAATCTGGTCTTGTAATAGGATAGAAACTGATTATATTATCAAGGCTTTGACTAGAGTGTCAGATTTGAGAATGTGCATAAAATCAGATATCCCAGGGGGATCCCTGGGTGGCGCAGCGGTTTGGTGCCTGCCTTTGGCCCAGGGCGCGATCCTGGAGACCTGGGATCAGGTCCCACGTCGGGTTCCCGGTGCATGGAGCCTGCTTCTCTCTCTGTCTTTCTCTCTCTCTCTCTCTCTCTCTCAAATAAATAAATAAATAAATAAATAAATAAATAAATAAATAAATAAAAAATCAGATATCCCAGACAGCTTTAAGGAACTAAGATTGACTTAATGGAGCCAATAAAGCCCCTTGGACATACAACCAGGCACCTTGCCTACTGGGTTCCCAACAGCCTTACCAGGTAAGTAACTAAGGTCGCTTCCTGGCAGGTGTAGGAAACTTATAGGATATTTTGGGGACCCTGAGAAGAAAGGAAGTCACTGCAATCTATTAAGTATTTCAGGCTGGTCTGATAGCAAGTCTTTGGCTTGGTTTCCTAGACTTAGGGGCTTTTAAAAATCCTATTGAGGTTTTTAATGAAAAGTTTCAATAAAGCAGATTTAAAGGAGCCTATATGATCAATCACTATTCTTGCTGCACTTATGTAAATAATCAGGCCAAATCTATCTATCTATCTATCTATCTATCTACCTACCTACCTACCTTTAGGACAAATCTATTGAAACTAGACATTTTTTAAACATTTTATTTATTTATTCATGAGAGACACAGAAAGAGAGAGGCAGAGACATAGACAGAGGGAGAAGCAGCCTCCCTCCCAGGAGCCTGATGCAGAACTTGATCCCAGGACCTTGAGATCATGACCTGAGCAAAGGTAGATGCTCAACTACTGAGCCACCAGGTGTCCAGAGACTAGATATATTTTGCAAACAAATTAGTTTTACTTATAATTGCCTTTGGTAAAAATGAGGATGATAGAAAAATCCTGCTTCAGTAAAAAACTACAATGCTTATGTGGATACAGATTCTAGTCCTGTTTTTCTATTCATGCTAATTTATCTTTGAGGTTTTTTTTGTTTTGTTTTGTTTCGGTTTTTTTTTTAAGATTTTATTTATTCATTCATGAGAAACAGAGAGAGAGAGAGAGAGGTAGAGACACAGGTGGAAGGAGAAGCAAGCTCCATGCAGGGAGCCTGATGTGGGACTCGATCCTGGGTCCCCAGGATCACACCCTGGGCCTGAAGGCGGCGCTAAACTGCTGAGCCACCCAGGTTGCCTGGTTTTGTTCTTTATAAACTGGATAGGAATCTAAATTCTTCTAGTTTCCTCATATGCCTACAAATCTCCAAACTAGCACTTCAATTTTCTCCTCCTCTTCTGCCTTGCAATCACTGAGAAATTAAACTGCCTTTTCCTGAAGCCCTGCAAACTGGCTAGAACACTTGGTAACTCACCACAGGGGCTCATAGTTAGACCATCTTTTGCTGTATGAGCCACTCAGAAAGTTGACTGGTAGGCCCCTTGATATCATCAGAGCCATTCATTTTTTTTTTTCATCAGAGCCATTCAAATGGCAAAGCAGGAAGTTCTGTCAGATTGCCATTGCCTCCTCTCACTGCATTTGAAGATACTTTGAAGCAGACATCTAGAAGTTTCCTCAACTGGCAGTTCTCATGACTCAGACACTGGGTTTATAATATGCTCTAAACATTAACTTCTGTTTTTCTTTTGTTTCCATAGAAATACTTCTTGTTAAATCCCGGATGGCTTGCTTTCACAATATAGCCTGACTTTGGGACCGCCTCCTGAAATGAGACACGACTGTTTAACTGAACTGACCTGACCCATTCTCCAGAATAAGACTACTTCATTGAGGTATGGAGCAATCTATCAACTATGCTTCTGGATTGTGAAATTTCTTTTTTGAAATTCCAAAAGAGGAACTGAAAGGGAGAAGATTTTGTCATCTCAAGATAAGCCTCTTTGGCATATTGATTATTTTAAACTGAAGAAACAGAAGACACTGGTGAAGCTCTAAAAACTGAGTAGAAGTTACCCTTTTGATAAGGGAAATCTTCATTTATAAGCATGTACCTAATACTGTGCCAGGAAGAGGGGGAATGACCAAATCTTTAGAAACTCTTATCAGTGACGAAGGCAAGGGCTTATATCTGAGTGACAACATAATCTTTATTTACTGTGCTTTTCCTGGTAACCTCACATAACCTACTCCCCACCCCTAACATCTTCTTTTGTCTTTAGATGAAGATAATATAAGATGATGGCTTTGGCAATTTTGGGAGTTTCTCAGTTCCACTGGGTCTTTGTCTCTTGTTCTTCTATTAATCTGTCTTACATAATTTTAATTATTAGACCAGCCAAAGAAGGTAGAAGAAATAAATGTTTTCTACCCCTGCAAAGGCTGAGGTTGAGGTCACCCTGTGAAGACAACTTGGTATGTATGTATGTGGGTATGTGTGGAGGAAGAGCCGATTATTTGCATTTGAGTCATTACTTGCCTTAAGCAGAATATAATTACAGCTATTAATAATGATAGTAATATTAACAATTTCCATAAATATCTTTTTGTATTTCTTTCTAAATTGTATACTTATAGTATTTTTCTGTTTTCTGTCAGTTAGAATTAGCTGTACAGAATTTATAATCAGGCACAAATATTTGAAAGGAAAATAATCACTTTTCCTGGAAGTGTCTTTGCCTCTTTTTTCCCAGCCTTCATGGAAGGTACTAGAGGTAAAAGTTGAGAAGCAGTAGATGGAGTATGTTTTAGTTAAAACGGAAAAGGAGCTGGCATATGTTATTCCATAAGTCTTCACAGCAGCCAGGTGTAAGAGACATTTTTGCCTGTGTTTCATAAATGGAAACATGAAGTTCAAATAAATTAAGAAATCTACATATAAGCAAGATTCAAATTGAGGAGATGCAGTCCCCTGCTAAACCTGGATGGGGCTCAAGTAAGGTTGAGTTATGTAAGGTAAGCAGAGATGAAGGAGGAAAACATCCGAGAGGAGACAGATTGGTTCTTAGCATTGCCAGTTGATAATATTTATCAAAGTTTTACAAAAATGCAAAGGCCAATTACCTAATTCATTAGGCCGGTTATATATGTAACATGAATGTTAGCAGCTAAGAGTTTATTATGAAGAATTTATTAACCCTAGACCAAAAATACTGTGTTTCTATGGGTTTTTTCCCCCTAGCTTAATGAGTGTTCATGGTATTATGAATGCTTTTTATGAAGCCTTTTTGATTCTGTAGTGTTTCCATTTATGAAAGATGTATGCATCGCATGAATATTAAGTGGGGAAGTAATCTAAATATACATTTTAAGAAACCTGCTTTCCCATTCAATGGCAGTCTTCCTTTAAATTAGAAATGGATAAACTTAAAGATAACCTCTTTTTCACTGGTCTGAACATCAGAACCAGGGCTTTGTTAGAGAGAATGGTAATTGTAGACCTTCAGTCAATCCTGGTAACTGCTCTATTCTGTTATCAGCATTCTAGCTCAGTCTAGCAGTTAGAATAGAGAGCATGGGAAAAGCGACCTTGAATACTGTATCTGCCCATCCTTCTATGGAAGATTTGTCAAACTCGACAAATTTTGCAAAACTGTAAGGCTGTGCATATTGAATGGAAAATTTTGAGAATTCAGAGCAGATAAAGATGCTTTTCAGATCTCAGTTTCCCTTCCTCCCTGACAGGCCATTCACTATCATCTGATCTTTCTTTATTTTCTTGGTCTTTCTGACATTCTTTCTCTCTCACTTTCTCTTTCTCTTCCTCCCTCCCTCCCTTCCTGCCTCCTGGCCTCCTTCCCTCTCTTTCTTTCTCTCTATCCTCTCTCCATCTCCCTCTCTTTCTCCATTACTACCAAGACATTTCATTTTATAAGGCCCTGTAATACATCAGTTTTCATACTTTCCCACTTTTAACTTCCTTTTTATTCCCTCTTGCTTTTTCCTAAATGGTATATAAACATAAATATTGAAGAAGAATTAAATTTGGAAAGCAATAAGAGCTACCCTGAAATAAGACCAAAAGCAATTCACCTGAGCTGAACAGGCTGCAAATTAGGCATCCTGGTCAAAGGAACAGGAGAATTTGAAGCTAGTCATTTTCTAGAAGTCTTATAACCAAGAACCTAGAACACATAATCCCTCCCATACTATTATTCACTGATGTGTTTCATGGTGCAAAACCCATGGACACGTCTTGGTATTAATCCCATTCTTTCGGGTCCTTTATTGGTCCTACATTAAGCCCTAACCTAATTTTTCTTCTAATGAGAACTCCAAGTTATCACCTCTGGAAAAAAATGCGATCTAGATTTGTGAAGAATCCTATCTTGAACAGATACTAAGGTACTCCTAACAGATACTAAAGGTACTCCTGAACTTTTTTAGTTGAATACTGGAAATCAGAGAATCTACAGCAATACCCTCTGAAATCATACTAAGAAGTCAAACTCCCTTAGGAACATGCTGGAAATTTTAAGCAAATGTAATTCCCTTGCTGGCACTAAAGGAATTCTAAAACCTTTGGGAAAACCTAGTTGAATAAATGATATTTCATAAAATGTTTGGGTTTTCCCTGAGTGAGAAATATTTCACCTCTTTTCAGTCTGGCTTTCTTATAATCTGATATACTTAAGGCCTTTGTGGTGAATGGATAGAAAGCCACTTTGACTTTACTCCATTTCAGGAGGTGAACCATCCCACTTCAATAGTCCTTTCTACTCACATACTCTGAGCTTTCCAATTCTTGTGATCCCTTACATTTGACTCATGCTATCTGTCAAATTTCAGTACTTAACAGTCTCTTGCCACAATTTAGGCATCAATGGCTCTATTCAAGATATAATTCCTGGTATTTCTCTCCTCTCCACCAAAAAGAGGAATGTTAACTTCCTCACTTCAGATTTTATAATGGAATTGAAACATTGGGCCTACTCCTTTTGTAGGGATTCCAATATGAGGAAGATATAATCAGCCCTTGTTCCTAAACCAAAATACTCCCAAGTCTCTCCATTAGTAAAAAGTTTGGGACACATATCAAGATCAGCAATTAATATTGAGGATTGCAGAGGGTAACATCCATGAAAATATGAAAGACAAGATTTATTTCTACATTTTAATGATCTTTTATCAGCTAAAACAATGATACTTTCCTCCTTTAAACTTTAGTCTGACTCTAGCTTTTAGAACTCCTGAACAGGTATAATTAAATGAAACAAGATACTTAGTAAACATTAGGAATTCTATTTGAAAACCTAAATTTGGAGATGTTAAAACATAGAATATGTCCTATTAAGGAATATGAATTTTTATATTATATATATTTTTTTATTTCCATTGAATTATTTGTTATTTGGGATAAAAACATCACTCATACCAGACCCTTCCATTTTCTATGTAACATTGATTTATGGTTCATTTGAAGTTCTTAATGAGAAGGTCATTACATTAATTATATCTTCCTCACATCTTTTCTAAGCAAAGTTTGCCTTCTACTATAGATTATATAAGTCAATATGATTGTTTTGTTTCTATATTTCTGAACTATAAATTATCTGTACAGTACATAAAACTATGAAACACTTGCTTTTACATAAAACAATTTCATCCCCACTTTTTCATTTATTCAATAGTTTAGGCAGAGATTACATTTAAGAAAACTGAGGAAAATATATCCCATTTCAAACTTTAAACAGGGTCAGGTCTACATAAGGCAGAAGCTATTTCTCAACCAAAGTACAAATAATTCCTGAGACTTCAATATGAAGTTAACTCACTGCTACCTTTAGACCCATCAAGCCTTTGTTTCACCATCAAAAATTCTCAACTTGGAGACTGAGGTCAGTAAAAAAGCAAAATATATTTATCATACATATTTTTCAAAGATCCAGTGCTCAGTTTTTATTTCTGTTCCATATATAGACTTATATAACTAATTTTACATAACAATAAAAATAGCTAGTACTGAGTGCTTACTATTTGACACTGTGGAAAGTAATTTAAATGCTTTGTTTTATTTAATCAGAACATAAAGTTATGAAAGCACATATAAATGTCTATCTTATGGCTGAGAAACAATTTAAATAACTTGGTCAAGACCCACAGCAAGTAAATGAAACTGAATACAGATCTGATTTCAAAGTTTATTCTTTAAATCCTTGCACTGTATGTCTTATTTGTGAAAAACATTACATTTCGTTTCTTTTTAAATTCAAGGATTTATTTTTTAGAATTGATTTGATTTAAGAAGATACACATGTAAAGGAGAAACTGTTGATAATAAAATGACCATCTTTTTGTGTTTACCTATAATTAATGTGAATATTTGAAATTTGAGATAAATTTGAAAACTGAATCAGCTAAGCATTTATTCTAAATGACATACAAACAAATCAATGTTCAACTCATAACTAAGAGAATTTGCGCAGTGGTAAAATGTTAACTTTTAGGAAACTAACTTGTCTCCATGAAAATGATTTTACCATATAATAGAGGTTTGAATTTCTAAGCATTTGAGATAAGCATTTTTCTCCCTATATCCTCACAATGGAGCTCTAGCACAGAGTTGTCAGGGAATCAGGTACAATCAACAGATTGATAAGGGGTAGAGCAAATCAGCAGGAGACAGAAGAAAGCCTCAAAAATTCCCTGTTGCCAGGTAAGTGAGGCTTTATGGCTTTGGAAGTCTACCTTTCTCAGCGATTATTCCAGGAATGGTTGGCATAAGGTCAGAAGCAGGAGACCAAAGAAGCATGTTTTATAAGCCCTTTGTATGCTTAAATTTGTCTCACTTCCCCTACTGGTAACTGGAATGTAAAAATGAATTAAATCTTATAAAATGATTCAGTGGAAGACAGGCTTCTGATATTATACTCAATATATTGATTGAAGAAAAGCCTAAATGTTTGTAGATCTAAAAGGCCTTGTGAATTCAGATGCAGTATTTGAATTGAGTCAACCCGACAAATTTTCATTGAAGCAATGTCTTAAATAAAGTTGGCTTCCTTGTGATGATACAGGTGGAACAGGATATTAGAGGGTGTGAAGGATAACATCTAATCTGCATACCCCATTTCTTAGTGATTCTAAGCTTCTGATTCACCAGAGCAAGTGACCAGAGTGACATTTACATGAAGATTGAATAAGCCTATTGAAAAAGCCATGACTTTAACGCTCAGTTGACTAGGACTGATTTGCTCAAGATCTAGTGGTTTTCAGTTGGATCCATATTGTTCCCCAGAGGATGTTTGGCAATATCTGGAGACTATTTTGGTCATTAGACCCAAAGCATGCTACTAGCAGCTCTGGTAGAGGTAAGGGAAGTTGCTAAACATCATACATTGCACTAGACTGCCCACCACCACAACAAAGAATTAGCCAGCCCAAAATGTGAATGGTCACCATCCTGGCAAGAGTAATGATGTTGACCGACAGGAGAAGATGGATTGCTCTGCAAAAGAAGCAG